AAAATCAAAAGTAGATAAAATTTCAAAATGTAAGGTTAAAAGTTGATGTTAACTTGATGTTTCATTCATTTTTATTTTGTTTTGAAAAGTCTTATTTATATTTTAATTAATTTTTTAGAAAAGCTACTCTTTTAGATTTAATCGTAGCGAAAAAACTACAAACAAGTCTTTAAATATTAAACAATTCTGTTGCGATAAATGTAATTTCGAGAAACATAATATAATATGATGTATAGACAAACAAACTTACTCACGCTGGGTTGGGGGATATTCTCTTCCTCACACTCCATGGGAGAATCGAGAACGGCATCAGCGACAGCTCTATCGGCTTCAGGATCGTCCATCTCCTCATCACTTGATGACACCCTTCGTCTTTTTCGTCTTTTTTTGACATTTGCAACAGATTCTGATTTAGATGAAGCATATTCCCGATTAATTCTATCTATCATTTCCTGAAATAATGATAATAAAAAATGTGGATCAGTATTACAATAGAACTGAAACATTTGTAAGAAAAAAGAAAACATTGAAGAGTGAAAAATCTTAATTTAGAATTTATGTATGTCATATAACATCTCCATTCTTTAACATAAATAAATAATTAAATAACAACAGGAGAAGATGTTATATTTCTATTACTAGTAATATTCAAAAGAGAAAAATGAGAACGAAAGAAAAATAAATAAATGAATAACTAAAAGTGAATAAAAAGAAAATGAATTAATTTATCATTTCCTGAAATAATGATAATAAAAAAATGCAGATCAGTATTAAAATAGAACTGAAACATTTGCAAGAAAATAGTATAGATTGAAGAGTGAAAAATCTTATTTTAGAATTTATGTCATATAACATCAGCATTCTTTATCATAAATAAATAATTAAATAACAACAGGAGAAGATGTTATATTTCTATTACTAGTAATATTCAAAAGAGAAAAAGGAGAACGAAAGAAAAATAAATAACTAAAAGTAAATAAAAGAAAATGAATTAATAAATGTTACTTACTTGTGAGATATTTCTAATGACTCGATCAGCTTCTTCATCATCCATGGTCATATCCAAAGGTGTATCCATTTTGGGGTGGAGAAAATAAATATCTGTAAATTTACGGAGGTGAAGTTCACCCTAAGACGTGTGGACGAGATTTGGCTCTATCCTACGTTGAAGCACCCCCCTTTTATATTGAAACTTATCATTAGTTTCCAAACAACGAAAATAAACAAATAAATAAAAGTAGGGGTAGCTGCTAAGTGCAGTAGGTAGACATGTACAGGCGACAATGTTTGTAGATAACTCACTATTCCTCATTAAGCATTACTAAGAGACATCAGTTTATCGTTACCAATGAAAGAACATTCTCTTGACGATGATAAAATTTTCTACCACTTTGTCGATGAAAAGAGACTCTCCCTTACTCATCGATAAAATACTTTTCGTCCATAAAAACTGATTCTTTTACTTTAGTGATAGAATGTTTCTTATGACGTATTCGCGATAATAAAGCGTCAAATGATTATAATTACGGTTTATAATTAGAATAACGTCGCGCCAATCCACCGCGTACGGACGCGAGGGGAGGCGCCGCGACCACCCGCCCGCTCGCCCGCCCGCCCCGCTTTTCGCGTCACGCGGACGTTGAATGATAACGTAATCGTAAAGTAAGAAATGAAGAAAGAAGTAAAAACGGCAAATTTATTAATTAATTT